AAAAACCATTTGGGTATTGTATATTTGGTGGGCGCCGATAATTTAATTATGCGAATTCATAATATGAACTTCAACACATCTTGATTGGTCGGAATATTCTTCGTATTTCGTAGTTCTTTACCCAATCATGTCGCGAGAATTGAGTTCTACTTCGATTTCAGATGAGCCTTAAATTCCCTCGTTGTCTGTATTGAAATCGATATCGCAACTATCCGGATAAGTGAGGAAGCGGTCAAGAATATTTATTTGGTGCTGCATTTTGATCCGGTAAAATAGCATGCAAATCTGTCGAATTTGTCCAGAAACAGCTTAAAACAAGCGGTCCAATTTAAGGTGCACCATTTTAAGCTTAGTCATTGTAAACTCATTTGCATATTTTTTGGGCGGTTAGGTTAAAAACAGCCTTTGTAGGAATTGATTGGCGCGTGCACCTTAAATTGGATCGAGCACCTTAAATTGGACTTTAACGTTATATTAATAATGGTACCTACTATCAAGAGCATCTACACCGGCACCAGTAAATTAGACCCCATATATCCGGATAACTTGTTCGGATACGCGAGTTACTGGCGCCGTTAAAGGAAACATTTACTGGATTCGTTTTGGTTTCGTACCGCAGTCAGTAAAACAGATTGCACTTGTTTCGTGATGGATTCGGCTACATGGGACTCCGAGAGCGAAAGTAGTGGCGAAGATGACGTTGTAATCGCCATAGTGCTGTGTGTGTTAGTCGTCACAGCGCAGAAGAAGGAAGTAAGTAACAGAGACTCCAACAAGGGCAAACGGCCAAACATTGACAGCAAGTGTGCTCAGTACGACCTACTGCTGCGTGCAGACTACTTTGATTCCGTGCCTACGTACGACGACAGCCACTTCCGACGGCGCTTTCGAATACGGCAGAGTCTTTTCCTGCAAATTGCGAATGATCTGGCACACCAGGACCCTTACTTTCACAGTCTGTCAATAGAAACCCGATGTCACAGGTGTATATAATATATAGTCAGCAGGTATTCATATAGAATTGGTGACGTAGGACCCCAAGGTTTTTCAACATTGCAAAAGGTTGCTGAATGCGTCCGATACCTAGCGACAGGGAGCTCGATAGACGACTTGGACGACAGCTATATTTAGCTATTTTGCTACAAAAATAATTACACAAATTCAAAAATAATAAGAAATTGAATTGAACCGTTTGTTAGATATAGAATTTTAGAGAGCACTATGCGTCAATCCTTGCGCCGAATCAGCTTGGGGATTCAGTCGCTTTACAAGGACAGCAGCCTACACGAGCCTAACGAAAATCAGGCTGACAAAGGCTATGCTCAACATGTTGGTTGGCCTGGAATGATGGGGTCTCTCGAACTGCTCTCATTACGCGTGGAAATATTGTCCGAAGGCATGGGCTGGGAAATTTCAAGGTACCAAAGGCCGACCGACAATAATATTCGAGGCTGTGTCCGACATGCGAAGACGTATTTGGCATGCGTATTTTGACATGCCTGGAGCAAACAACGTTATCAACGTCTTGGACAGTTCAAACATATTTCACGGTTCGATTAGAGGTACAATAATATTTTTTATAGTTAAGGATAACATATGTAATATAGGCAATAATAGGATGGCGTCCTCATGTGCGATACAACGTAAATGGAAACGCTACGACGCACCATATTGGATCGTGGATGGAATTTACCATCCATACTCAGTCTTTCTGAAAACGATACCCAATTCGAAGTCGCTCCGGGAGAAAGCATCCCAGAAAGCCCAGGAGTCTCACGGGAAGGACGTTGAACGAATGTTTGGCATGCTTCAGGCTCGTTGGCACGTGCAACATGACCATGTGAGTTGTGGGGTCGTTCTGCTATGCATGACGTCGTGAATACGTGCTGTGTATTAGACAACATGGTCATTGATGACGAAATGGACGACGACAGTTGTAATCTTGAATTGTTAAACGACCTCCAACCCGACGATCCCTTTGTGGCGACTGGCGAGACCGAACATGCGACATCGCAGAGTTGCATTCAAGCGTTTGCCAAGCTTACGGACGGTGTAGCTCATACGAAGCTCCTCAACGATTTAGTTGAACTCCGCTGGAATTTGTTCGGTGATATTTCGTACGAGTAAAGTAAGAGGAAATAAATTTTAATATTGAATGAATTATTGATTACACAGTAGCACAACAATCCGATCAACAGCAGTAGTGTGCTTCGGGGCAATTAATCTCGCTGCAGCATAAGTGATGTACAATATCACAACCGTTAAACCCTTGATGTTTCACGACTGAAGCATCCATACAGTGATTGCCGGTAAAAGTGGACGAAAGTAGCACAGTGGAATAAAATAAAATTTTGTACAAAGCTGGGAAGTAGAAGAATAATTTCATTGAACAATAATCGCACATTTACAGCACCCACATGGACCACTTGAGTTTAAAATTCTGTAATGTGATTGGTCTATTCAAAATCGATTTCAAACATCACATCGCCGCACATTTCGATGCGTGTCATGTCTACCAGGAAGCAGCGACGGTACAGCAACGCTGAGCGCAAGTCGTTGTTGCAGTAGTACCATGCCACGACGCTGATGACTTCTGCATCGATAACGGCAATCCCCCCGACGACGTGGAAACGGTGGCGGCAAAAGTAAACTGTGATTCTGGCCAGCACGCGCAATGGTCGGCACCAACCATGGGTGGACAGGGTAAGAAAGCACTCATACCCTTTGGGGAAGAGTTGCTGGAA